CGATGTTCTGCTGATAAGCGGCTTTGTCTTCTCTTAACAGTTGAGTGCAGTGGTTACGTTGGGCTACGTAGTTGTCCCAAGTTTCTGGTGCTGGAGCTTCTCTGTACACTCGCCATGCTGCGTTGCGTACTGTCATCCATTTTGGGGTTGTGCTCCTAACGAAAAAAATGGATTTGCACCTATTGCAAGCTTTTATCTCTGAAGCCTGTGCAATCAGCTAACTGAATGTGTTGACGAACTCGAGTCAGGCGACTTCCGGGGGTTCTTCTTCGAGGAAAGACCATGTTGTGGCGCTGACTAGCTGGGCGAGTCGGTCGTACCTTGTGATGGTTCGCACAGTATCATCGTTATCATTCAGATATTCTGCATAGCAGACGAAGCTGAAACTGATGACTGCGTGATCACTGCGACCGAACGGGCAGTCTAAAACCAACGCATCAATCATATGCTCCTCGTTGGTAAGCACAAGATCTAGCACAGATGGCCTGTTACCAGTTCTGAACCGAGTGGGCAAAGTGATGTGGTTGTAAAAAGGAACAGTAGTTACTAGATCTTGTAGATCGGTTTTGAATTGTTCTCCGATCGTGGCAGGGGCTTCTAAACAATGTGCGTTGAAATCACTTATGATAAGAATGTGAGTGTACTTATGTTGTAAACTGCACCTTAAAGCAGCCGCTAGGTGGTAGTCGGTTTCGGGTGTTGAGTTAGGGACGCGGTACACCAAGACAATAAGGCAAGCGTCCCTGCCTTTTAATTGCAACCGGCACCAAAGAGAGTCGGGGAACTGCGAGTCTGAATCCTCCACGGCTTCGCACTGTAAGTCGTTTCGGTAGTACAGTATTACCCCCCCTCCTTTTGTGAGCCTGTCGTTCCGGATCAGCGACATGCCGGGTAGCGACACTTCAACGTCCGTCATTCCCGTGTGCAACCATGTCTCGGTGATACCAATGACATCATACGAGCCAGAAGCTTGGCGATCTTTCAGTTCGGCCAGTTTGTTAGAAAGACCCTGAGCATTTGTATACAAGCAGGCCAGTTTCTCGGTCTCTAGGAACCCGCAGAGAGGTGAGGCTGTCAAGTGTGGGAGAATGCCGACCGATGGGAGGTCGGCAGTTATTCGTTTTTTTGATGGGTCAATGATACCTCGTTTGCAACTTGATTCGGCCAAGGTGCGTCCCAGCCTTCGTTTAGACCTACGTCAGAGTCCATTAAAGCAGCAGTCAAGTTACGCTTCTGTACATTCGTCAGTATGCTTGCTGCTTCAGTTGCTTTAATATTTGAGCTGTGCAAAGTTTTTGCGACCTTTAACCGAATTTCGGAAGGAAGATGTTTCCGATTTCTCCGCCATCGATCCAAAACATCCTTTGCTTGTTGCTCTGACTGAACCACAAGTTTTAGGATTCTAGGGCCGCATCCTCTATAATTCGATGAGAGAGGTATCCTGGTGAGCGATAGTGCCACAACATTATCCAAGGATAGTGTTTCACGAATGAACCGCCACTGTTCTAAATCGTGCTTTCCGGTCTCTTGAACATCGTTAGAAGGATGTTCTGGCACGCCATGTATGAAGACTGTGTTTAGGCGGTCTTGCTTGCTGTGCCCCTCTTCGGTGTTTCGTTTTTGTTGTCGCGCGCTCCAAGGGACATCAGAATAGATACGTTTCCCACAGGATTCGTGTTTTAGCGCGCTTGCGGAGAGCAAAATGTTTTCTACTTCTGTAGAGGATTCTAGAGTTACTCGAATAAGTCTGGGTTCACCATAGTGTGGCGAGTTCGGATGACGAGTAATTCGTAACAAGTTTATGGGCTTGGCTTTGATACTTATCTGCATACACAATGAGTTCCATTGGTCTTGGTCGTCTGATAACTTATCCCGCAATGTGATGGCGGTGGATTCAGGGACATTTGAGCATACAACAGTCCAGGCACTGTTGTTGGATCCCTTTTTAATCGATTTAAAAGGTATGGTACTCATTTGTCTTGACTTGTTGACAAGTGATTGTTTGCTGTTTTTCGCTCCATTTGCGTTAACGGTGTTTACAATGGAAGAGAACGCAACGGCGGCCTCTCGATGGACCCTTGCAGCAATCTCTGCATATGTAACCGCTGTTCTGGGAGGCCTAGTGTCGACAAGAGATCATATCTCACCTTATCAAACGCCTTATTGAAATCAATGCGGATCACATCGACCAAATTTATCCGGCTTAACGTCTGCAGGCATTCGTGCCGTGTCACCAGAAGTTGGTGATGCATGGGTGGCCTTTCATGAAACCATGCTTGGCTTGTGTTAGGTCTTTCGATTTCAGCAACTGCAGTAGACCCTTGTCGAGTACATTGGTCAAAACCGAGATCAGTCGGTAAGTGTTCACTTTAACTGCGTCATTGGCTTTTGGGATCAGTGTCACTAGAGAGCATTTCCAGTCGCTAGACAACGCAACTGGCAAGCGATCTAGTAAACAGATCAGACAGGAAGGGCGATATAATGGCCGACAACAAATTAAGAATAAGCGAGTGGAGCCCATCGGGACCGACATTATTAGTGCCGTCAGGAATGGTAAGTAGATTGCCAACACCTTCCAAGTCGCAATTCAAGCTCACAAATTCAGTAGGAGCTGCACACGTCAAGCTTGGCATAGACGCAAGCCAACTCGTAAATCCAGAAGCGAAGTGCCTCGCCAACGTGAATGCACGTTCAGTGCTGGAAGTTAGAGGCTGTCAGAGTCATCCAACACTGTTACGTCACCTGTAGGTCCCAAGCGCTGCTTCACGTAAGCAAAAATCTTTTTGGGGGTCGTCTTCGCTGCGTTCGCAAGCTGAAGGAACTACACATTCTTCAGTCTGCAACGTTTGTAGCTGCAGTGGATTTCCATGGGTCATGAAAACGCCGTACACGAAGTTAAGGTATGGATCATTCTCTGTAAGAGTGACTTAGTATCTTCAGTCTAGGGCGCCGTCAAGTGGTTGACCATAGTTATCTGCAAAACACTGATGGTGTCGGATGGCACTGGTGTATCCGCAGCGATGGCATATAAAGACAATCGTTCGGCGGTGGCAATCAGGTTGGTTCCTTAGTGCAGCAAATTACGCTGAATAAGTTAGGTTGGCTTGGGCATGTGATATATACGCCCGGTCACTGCTTATCGAGGAGAGATTTGTTTGGTTTGCCAAATACCAGATGCGCAAGGCTCGGTGTGGGAAAAAGCTGAAGTGTCAGCTAAAAATGATGTCAGTAACGACTAGACTGGGTGCTGCTGGTTTGTCTCGCCCACCAAGCTAGTGTCCACGCAAACCGCCTTGTGATAAGACTATGGCGCGCAGTTGATACCAGTGGCGTATCTGCTCTGGACTCCTAGTCTGGTTGCCTGTTTGAATTATGTCCAGTGCTGAGTTATCTACGAGGACACTGAAGTTCGCAAAGATGTCTCGTCGATGTTATCTAAGCACGATTGACAACTGTTTGTGACGGCGAGTGGTTTAGCGGGAGTCGAAAGCGGTTCCAGAAAACAGATCGGATGAAGGAGTACTTTTATTTTGCAAATTAAAAGATTCCCTATTGGCCTAACTATAAAAAGACCCCAATGGACGTTGTTAGTTAGGGTAATGAAGAGCGCAGACATGAAACGGCCGCACGTTGCATCCAACCAAGTGCCAAAGCAAGATGGTGGAGCTCAATACAAGCAATCCGCACCGATCGTTTAAGTGTACAATGAAATGTTGACCTTAGTTAGAGATTTACACAAGACTCAAGAAAACCGGAGAAGTCTCCGGACTGCTACAGTTGTTGACAATATGTAGAAGAGTTGACCCGGAATATTTGGTTAAGGCTTTAATTTGTTACACCAGGCCCACTTCTTCCTGTTGTTCTTCTTCATTCCTTGCCTTAGCGAAGCAGTAGTTCAAATGGCTAACGTACTGCTGTTAGTTATGATGATGACAATAAGTTAGGACGAAGTGCCCTCGAATTCTACGACACTGCATTGAATGCGTTCCCAAACTCAGCAAGCATTTGCCAAACTTCTCTTTCTGTAAACCCTCACCTATGAAAAGAGCACAACCCATTGTGGATATATTCATCGGCAAGCACTTCCGTGGAGTCTCTCCCTCTCCCGCAAATTAAAACAACGTCTGAGTATTGGTCAAAGTGTTACAAATGAACAAAGATTTGTTTTATGCTCAACACAATGCTGAATCAATATTTTATGGGAGCGTACTATTCATTCCCATCGCACCGAGCGACGCCAACTTAGGGTCACTCACGCGCGCATGCGGAATCAGCTTGGGAGCTTTGAGGCTTGTTCGCCTAATCTTCTGGAAACCATTGCAACATTTAATTTTTGTACTTGTGTTCTGGATTCTCGATTTTCCGCTCGAAGTGGACATAAACTGGCTTAGTATCGGAAAACAACCACTTTTGTCTTAGCAATAAATCGGAATATCTTTAGCTCGAGTTGTCTGTTCAAGTCTGTACTCCGAACTAAACAGAGCAAAATCTTATCTGGTGTATTAGTTAGGTGCTGTTGGTCCATGTGACTCCTCTTGTGTATTGAAATCGAGACTTCACAATACATGGTCCGCATCCAAAGCGCTTTAAGTCATCTCTTAGTCGGACTGTATGCTTAAATTGTATTTGAGTTGTCAATGGGCTACGGCTAATCATGAAGCGCGTACTGAAAGGCACAATATAGCTGTCGCGTTGATGCCGCCTTATCTACGCACGATAGCCATTTGTTTGTGACGGTGTGTTGTTAACCGGGAGTAGACATCTTGACGCTGAATGTTTGAGTATGGTGTATAAGTTTGCGCTAGGGCCCATTCTCTTTTTATCATTCGTCAATCCCACGGGTCATATTGGCTGGATGGCAGCAAAGTGTCAGTTCAAGATGATGTACTGCAATGAAAATGATGACGATGGCATTTATAGCTTGTTGCTAACCGTTCACCTACCAAGGCAAATAAGCTGAGCAGCATGAAACTACCATAGAGAGGCTGAAGAAGTTGAAATCAAGCTCTACTCGATGGTTTATGTGGCAATTGAAGATTGAATCAAAATACATGACCAAAAGAACAATTTGCTACATTTACATAATCAAATGTCTTGTATCCACTGGTTTATTGATTGCACGTCGTTTTTCGCGGAACACTCCACAAATTGTACTGGGACGCGGCACGAAGCAAATGTGAAGGTGGATCCGGAACTTGTAAAAGGAGTTCGAACATTTTTCGCGTTACCCTCCAAACCCTGCAGTGCACCGGAGCGAGTTACTGCGACCGTACTCCTGAAAGAATGGCAGAAATAATACTTATATTATGCTAACATAAGCAACAAAGACAATGATAGGCAAACTGCGAAATTTCTGCATCTTGGTTTATTAGGGACTAGTGGAACAATCTATCACAAGGGGATTCGACTTGAACTTCGTTCCACATGAACTGGGTGAAGTTTAGTTAGAAGTGCATTTGCTGAAAGAAATGGCCGATACATCCATATTATGAAAGTTTACCTGTTCGTTATAGAACACGAGGGTCTGGAATATGTTTCAACGGTAGCAAGAGTCTTCCTGTGCCCTACGTAATCGGACTTCGAGAAAATGCGGAATGATGACTAGCGGCGACTTAAGCTTAGTGGCTCTCTCGAGCATGCATGTCACAGATCTGTCTCAGGCCGGTGCAGGAAAGCAAGACGAATCACAAACTTTCGTGCATGCACGTGAACAACCGGTCGCAATACATTTGCAATGACGGCATCTGTGTGAACGCGTCTGCGATGAGTATCCATGCTAGAACTGAAATTCACATTAATATCCGGAGGCCGATCAGGTGAAACATGCGTAACGGAGGAAAAATCGGTAAATAAAACTACTACTGCCACTACTAGCTCATATGAGTTAAGGAGCAAATCAGCCGAAGCAGACGGTGCATCGGCATGTGCAAGTGATGTCAACTACAGGACGCAGTCAACCTCATACGTATGTAATGCGCGATGGTTCCTTTTATACCCCCTGGAGTCCTTCATATCAGATTGCTCAATAGCTAGAGGACAGACCGACCCAGTCTTCTGGCTCTGCAGGCTGGGGGTTGGAGTGAGAGTGGCTCTATACCACCTAAAACGGATTCGCTGTGGCACGCTGCCAAATTACCGCTGCTTTGAATGTTGGGTTGTAGAGTACACGCCGTGTCTTGAATTGCGACAAGCAATCTCAATTGTGGCTTCGGTTAATTTTAGTCAGCCTCTGGCATTCAGATCACTGGGACCGTATCCGAAGTGGAGGGTTTGGGTGTTTCTCACTACCATCACTGCATGTGGAATGCAGTGATGGTAGAGAGTAACATGGAAACCAGTTATCGCTGCCTTGCGGTCAATGGTTTTAGGAAAGGGTTCTGCTTGAGGAGCCTAATCCTTTTCTTATATTTGGGTTACTGGCCATAACAAGTCCATGGCGTAAGGAGAGGGCTATTGCTCAGATTTCCCCGTCTTCTTATCCCCCATCTTACGTTCTTTCATCCTCATCGTCCCGCTCCAGTTTCACTTTCAATCCCCTTTCGTTTCAAGATCCCAATCTTTGGCCATCCCAATCTTGCTTTGGTCGACCCACACGAATTCGCGGAGCGCCACTGCCTTCCTGTCGACAAGCCTATGTTTAAACGAGCAGAAAACCGTAACACACGCTTTTATTTCGAACCTTCTATCCCTGAAACCAGTCACATGCTTCAACGTACGCACTTTATTGCAGACCGGTCAAAAGACAACAAATGCACAACCACTGAAGACCCTATTGATAGATAAATGCTGCTTATTGGAGATCCGTCTGCAAGGTTCTACCTCCGTGTTCACTCTACCGTTCCTTTCGTGTGAGACTGGAGGCACAATCCCATTGCGTTTATCCGCAAACAACGCGGGTTCAAATGCCACTCAAGCCAGGATGCACTGTTCTGAGTTCCTCTCGGCTAAACCTGCGTTAATAGACTGGATTCCAAGGAGCAGCCGGATGTGGGCGTTCTGAGTAGTTGGTCCGTTCAAAGCAATTAGTTCAGTTCAGTTAAATCATCATCATCATACACGTTAGCTAGAGGTGGGGAACACCTCAGCTACTGTGCCGCAATACATAGAAAAAAAGAGAAAAAAATGCAACTGGTGCAAGCCGGCTGAGCTACCGGTAACGGGTGGGCATCGTTCCGGTAAGCTACCAGCCGGCTATTAGGCAAAAAGAAAAAAATTACTACGCAAAATTATATAAGGCTAAATAATGAGATCGTGGTTGGAGGGGGAGGCTAAGAGGGATGGGGTGGGACAAAGAAACTCACAGCACGAACACCACTGAGGTCGGCTCCTAGCCATAGCAGCAAGTGTGTCCAACCAAACGTGTTCATCGTCTTTCGAACCCCAATCAGGGACCCGAGACGCTCCAACCGAGGCCAGCTCAGAAGTGAGGGCCTTCATTCCTCTGGACCAAGTCATCGCTTGGCCACCCCTCCTCTTCTTCCATCCACACCCCCGGCCTGCAAACAACGCACATCGCGGGAGTCGGTGGGCTGGCATGCGTAACACGTGGCCGAGCCATCGGAGCCTGGTGCGTGAAATAACGGTGCTGAGCGGTTCAGTTCCTTTTCCTGTGCCATAAACAAGGCGTCGAACACGTTCGTTGCTCACGCGGTGTTCCCACCAGATGTGAGCTAAATTACGAAGGCACCGATGGTCGAACGTAACTAGCCTCTTCAGGTCCGCTGCTTTAAGCGGCCAGGTTTCACAACCGTACAGTAGGGTCGAACGTACTGCTGCATTGTACACTCTACCCTTCAGGGCAACAGTGATGTCGCGCCGGCGCCATAGGTGTCGAAGGTTAGCAAAAGCGCCCCGAGCTTTTGCTATACGGTTCGTGAGCTCATCTTCAATCCCCCGGGCGCTGATACAACTCCCCAGGTAGTTGAATTTTGAACGACTTCTAGCTGATCCCCACCAAGGGTCAGCGTAGGGGGCGGTCCAGACCAATCTTGGAGGAACGTTCTGCACTTCGAGGGTGCGAAACAAAGTCCGAACGGATGGATATTGTGTGCTATTCTGTCCAGTGCCGCTTGGCATGTCTGGGAGCTGTCACAGATTAGGGCAATATCATCGGCGTAGTCTAAGTCAAGAAGTCGTTCTCCTGGAAGTAGCTCCACACCTTCTAAGTCGTGTCCTGTGAACGCGATTTCCATGACTTCGTCAACAGCGAAGTTGAAGAGGAAAGGTGTCAGCGGGCATCCTTGTCTCACAAAGCTGGAGATATTAAAGGGCGACGACAACTTGCCGTAAGCCCTCACTCTGCCCGAGTTACGCGCATATAATGCTCGGATAATATTCACATATTTCTCGGGCACACCTTTCCTGAGTAGACAGTCCCAAAGTGCATGTCTATCCACCGAATCGAATGCACCTTCGATATCGAGGAACACGACTACGGTGGGCCGCCAATATATGTGACGGTGCTCCAACAACTGACGCAAGGTGAACATGTGGTCAATGCAGCCACGACCACGACGAAACCCGGCTTGCTCTTCACGAATCTGGCTTTCACGAGTGCCAGTCAGTCTGTGAATGTGGACAGAGGCAAGTAATTTTGAGGCGATGCAGATCAGACTGATTCCTCTATGGCTGCCGCATTCCGATCGTGAGCCTCTTTTGAAAATTGGGACTATGACGGAGCGGCTCCAATCGGTTGGGACAGTTTCCTGCTCCCACAGTTTGACTAGTAACTCGTGTAAATCATCCATAAGAGCAGGTCCTCCGAATTTGAAGAGGGCTGGAGGAAGATCATCAGGTCCCGCGGCTTTATTTAACTTCAACAGTTCGATCTCACGTTCGACTTCTGAGCGAGAGGGTGGATCCAAAGGACAGCCCAGGGAGTGGGGCGATCAGTGGCCGGCGAGAAATCTAACAATTCCGACCGATTAAATTGCCTTTTAAAGTGCTCAGCCCAACGCTCTAAGCGTTTTGATAAGTTGTGGATAGGCTGTCCGCTCTCGTCACGTATAGTTTCACTAACACCAGGTCTTCTGCTGCCCGTTTCCCGTATCAGACGGAATAACTTACGATGGTTAACAAGGACAGCGGCCATTTCCATCTCTGATGCACGATGAGACCACCAGGATTCGCGGTCTCTTCAGGCTAGCACGGAGTTTTGCCCGGAGCACTTTGCGAGTTTCATTGTGTTCGCTTCCAGCCGGAATATGCCGACGAGCATCTATAAGTTCCAGAGACTGTGAAGAGACCCAACGTCCATGTTGGCGATTAGACATACCACATGAGGATTTTCCTGCTGCTAGTAAGGTCTGATGAATATGAGACCAGTGAGCTTCAATTGCATCCAGTGAGCGTTTATCCAACTCGCATGACAGCGTACTTTGATACGCATTCAGAACAGCTGGCTTCGCCAGTTGGCTGGTGTCAATGCGCTCACAACGTCGTCGTGGGCGTCCGCCAAAGCGCATCCGCAGGTCAGCACATACAAGTGCATGGTCGGTGTCCACACTTGTGCTCCAAATCGAGCGACAGTTCTAGACGCAGCCTCTCCATCGGTAACTTATCGCAATGTGATCGATTTGCGTCCATAGCTGGTTCGACGCTGGTGGCCGCCAAGTCACCCTCCGGCGGGTGCTGTGTCGGAAATTAGTGCACGCAAGAAATAAGCGAGCATCCTCACACAAATGAAGTAACCGCTCACCGTTATCATTACGGGAGCCTATACCATGTTGGCCGCCCAGATGCAGCTCATCTGTGGATAATTTTCCAACTTGAGCGTTCAGATCCCCGGCCAGCACTACAGTGTCCGAGCTTCTTCTGTGGCTAAGGAGCTCGTTCAGTTGACGATAGAAGTCGTCTTTTACCGAGTCATCGCTACAGTTTGTCGGTGCATAGGCAGCGATAACGAATAGACACCTGTTAGTCCCACGTGACTTCGAAGCTTTGAACGAGCCAGCCAATCGGACCGCACACATCCGGCTACTGATTGGAATCCAATCAACCAGAGCAGCTTCAGCCCGGGGACTCAGGGCAATACCAACACTGGCTTGGCCGGTGCTCGAAGCTGCATCGTCACCGGATAGGCGCAATAAGAAAATACTGCTGGTGTCACCTGAAGGGGATTGCAGAGTGAGCACAGAGCTCGAGTCTTGCAGGCGGGTCTCCGATAAGCAGCAGATATCGATCGATAGGGTCTCTAATGTTCGAGCAAGTGCTGCCTGTTGACCGATCTGAAGCAATGTGCGAACATTGAGGCATGCCAATCTGAAGAATAATCGA